GTATATTATTAGTAGTTAAAATCCAGTGTTAAAACAAAGTGTTTCCGTATCAAATCTAGAGGTGTTAAAATGGAATCAATAACTCTTGACTTCTGAACTCTGAACTCCACCAGCGGCTCTAACACTGAAGGAGTTCATTCACTGCCTCCGCCCCAGAATCACAGATTCCCACCGAAGCGAAGCGACAGAAGCCAAGTCATTTCAGGACTATTTACTTTCCACATGTCTGAGTTATTTACTGCGCTTGGTAAGTTACTTTTTTTCTGAGATGGTTTATAACTATTATTTTGAGTTGAGCTCAACCTGTATGACAGACGGCTCGGTGTTAGCATATTTAGCTTAGCATGCCGAATGTTAGCGGAGTATAAATGTTGGAAAAATATCGGGCGGGTGAAAATTTAATCAAATTATTGGCTAACTTGAACAGATCCATAATAATCTGGAGTATGTTTTTCATTATAATGAACGTTTACATGCATATTGGTCAGATTTATCAACCTTTCTGATGGATTTTTTTTTCTTTTGAAAAACTGTAAAAGGCTTTTTCACGTTGAGAGCATTATTCCCGCTGTTGTCTTCTTATCTACGTTTTGCAGCATGTTTTAATCCTTTTATTGCCTTTTTGTATATATTAGAACCAGTTTGGTTGAGGATGAATCGCCAGTCTCAGCCTAACCTCCCCCTCCTGATCCCTCCATGGATTCTTCGAAGATTCAAGCTCCAAAAATGATTATGTAAGTGTTAATATCTGTGAAACTCCACATTTCTGTAATGGAGGCTTGTTGTTAGAGTTGTAGTAAAAATTTATTCCTTCGCTCCATTCCTTATTGTTCTGTTTTTTGTTTGTTATGATCCAGAGACCGACACTGGCTGTCCTACTCAGAGACTGAAGACTATCCGATGCAGTAGAGGAGCATGTTGGTGTCTCTGGCCAAACATCACGAACAGCCCAACAACCTGAAGACAATCTGTTAGTGATGGACATCTCTCTGGTGGAGTGCAGAGAGGAACTTTCTCTTATCAACAGAAACATAAACTGGATAAGAAATGATGGATCTGAATATCAGGTTGGTCTGTTATGTAATGTACATATCTGGTAATCTACCTGTTAAAAGAAAATGTACTCTATCAAATATTACATGAACTGCATGCATTGATACAGGCTTTACTTTCTCCACCTTGTACTTTGAACAATTTCATGCATATTGTATTGAAGAAAAATGTATTAAGCATACTGCATTTTGTATTGCACAGCTGATATGTTAGACCTTTTAAAAAGCAATATGTGAAGGAAAGCGACATGTGAAACATGCACATTATTCCACGTTGTAATATGTTTTGTAATTATGGTGCACGTTTTGAAATAAATGCATTTGAGAAAATCATTGCCTCTTTATTAAATGTTTATTTTCCAAAGAATTTTTAAAAGTTCAATACAATAAAGTACCTATTTAATATTAATTACAAATAACTCTTAAGAAGTTAAAGTACTCTGTGAGAGTTAATATTAAGATCTAACACTGAATTAGTGTCAGTAAGTGTTAAATGATTAACTCCAGCAGATTTGATATTTGACACTTTATTAGAGTTAAGGTACCAACTCTCCAAAAAGAGTTAAATTAACACTTTC